ACCTGAGGCCTTGCCACATTCTTTACATTCATAGGGTTTCTCTCCAGTATGATTGTTTTTATATATTTTTTAAAATTTTTTAATATTTATTTTTCAGTTTTCGGTGGACACAACATCTTTTATTTTTTTATTTTATTTTTTTTAAAGAGAGAGAGATTTTTTAATATTTATTTTTTTAGTTTGCAGCAGTTACAACATCTTTATTTGTATGTGGTGCTGAGGATCGAACCCAGTGCCCTGCGCATGCCAGGCAAGCTCACTACCGCTTGAGCTTCAACCCCAGCCCTGTTTTTATATTTTTGAACAAAATTTTTATATCTGAATGCTTTCCTACACTTCTTACATTCAGTCTCTCTTCAGTATGACTTCATTCATGCATTTGAAAACCTAGAGCAGACATGTGAGTTTTCCCACATTATTTACATTCATAGTGTTTCTGTGCAGAGTATTCTTTTTCATGTGTTTGAGCAGACTGGTGATATCTGAAGGCTTTCCCATATTTCTTACATTTATAAAGTTTTTCTTCAGTGCAAGTCACTTCGTGTAATTTAATGGAGTTCTGATATCTGAATGCTTTCCTGCATATCATATTCATAGTGCTTCTTATAGCACTTCTTAGGTCTCACGTTGCTTTGGATCACCAATGATATTTTAAATGAGAAAAACCTAGTGAAATATCCAGCAAAAATTACTTGAAGCATGTATTGATATGTAAAGTACAAAACCCCTAAATAACTATTCTGTTCAGAAAGGGAAGATGACAGTTTGTTGTTTCCAAGGCAAGATATGGGTTTCCAAACAACTGATCCTATTTTAACATTTCTAGGAATTGCAAGTTTATGCCCCAGAATTCTCTTTGAAATCATCCAAGAGGAAAAAACACAACTCCTGAACTTACTGCACATACTAGGGGAGTTAAGAAAGTAAAAAGAATACATAACAAGTAAAATATAAATATGGTAAAATTTTATTTTTTTAAGATCACATTTCTTGTCTCTTTGGAAATATTTCATATTGTTGTTCAGATTCTATTAATTAAATACATTTTTCCATTTATTGAAATACTACAAAGCAAGTAAATAAATCTATTTAAGTTGACCAGCTCAGGGAGAGGCAGTCCTGTCCTGGGACTGGGTCAGAAGGCCAGATCGGCCAGGAAACTTTCCAACAGGAACCTCAACCCAAGGGAGTTCCCTAGGACATCTGTGCCCAGGAAAGACACTGGGAGGAAAGGAAAAATTTTTTCTTATTACCATATAGCTCCATGTGCTGATTCTCTGCTTTCCTGTCAAATAAGTTTTTTTTTATTATGAATATTTTATGTATCTATTTGGTGCTCAGAATTGAGCACAGAAATCCTCCCCACCTCCAAAATAAATATTTTAAAGAGTTATCCCTATCTCTTTAAAAAATGATTAAGAATTAAGCTGGGCACTGGCACATGCCTGTAATCCCAGTGTCTCTGGAGGCTGAGACAGGAGGATCAGGAGTTCAAAGCCAGCCTCAACAACTTAGGGAGACTCTAAGCAACTCAGTGAGACCTTGTCTCTAAATAAAATACAAAATAGGGCTGGGGATGTGGCTCAGTGGTGAAATGCCCCTGAGTTCAATCCCTGGTACCAAAAAAAAAAAAAAAAAAAGAATTGAAACACTTGTCTGAAATGTGCAATAAAGGATAAATAGTTATACATAATGATATAAATTGGAGAGGGGCAGTTGGCCTTTGGGAATGGCAGGAGGAATCTGCAGATTTAGGAATTTCTAGGAATAACTAGGCTGGGGGAAGAGGCTTGTGGATTTGAGACTCTGCTTCCAATAAACCTGGAAACCTCAGGGAAAACATCCTCCCTGGGGAGAAGAGAGGGGCTGGGTCCCCACACACCGCAACTCCTGTGCAGGAACCTCCTTCAGTGAGAGGTCAGGAGGAACTCTCACCTGGAGTCCGTTTAGGATCTCACCTAACAGCCAAATTCGCACACGTGCTGCCCTCATTGGAACACGCAGCGGATTGCTGACCAACTGTTCCCCCTCCAAGCCAGGAGCTCCGCCCGGCCTTCCTGGGGTCCCTTCACAGGTCGCCCCAACTGGCCTGACCAGTTTCCACTCAGATCCCCGACCCCAGGCACTCATTTCTCCCAGGCAGACCCAGCGGGCCTGTGGTCGCGTCCCACTGCAGTACCCGGGTCCTGCCCTGATAGCCCCACTGGCCCTCGCCCACCAGGGGCTCCCACAAGATGGAGAGCCTTGGACCGACCCTGCAAGCAGAGACTCCTTTCCCCTGTAGGGTCCCACCTCTTGCTCAGGGCATTCCCAGGACCCGTGCCCAGGCCAAACTCTCAGGCTGGGCCCTGGCGCCCTGCCGGTCCTGATCCTTCCCTGGAGCTGTCTCCTAGTCCTTTCGGGTTCCCCTGCCGGACCTTCACCTCAGGCACCTGAGGACTGAAACTCCTAGTGTCCCCCAAGCCCCCCTTCAACCCCCCACCGATCTCCAGCCACCAGACCGCCCTCTCCCCGGCCACCTCCGTTCCCAGGCTCTTTCATTCCGTCAGTCTTCCTCCAGGAGCATCCGAGAGCTGCGGCACTCGATTATCTGGATAAGTTTCAGATTCTAAAGGTCTGGCGGAGCTGGGGTGGCCCCCTCCACCAAGGCCCCCCATTCCTCCGGTTTAGCACTGCCTTGGGTCCCCTCATTTCCCCCTCTCCAAAGTCCCCCACGGCCTCTCCAACGGCTCAACACTCCTCCCGGTCTCCACTGTACCCTCTCCCTTTACTGCCCGGCTCTGCAGGCCAGTCCCTGCTCAGCGGGTCCCCTTGACCTCCCTCCCTTCTGGGCCCAGCCCCCCACTCAGCCCCACCCTCTGGCCTCGGCCCCACCCCGCATTGTCAGCCGGTTCCGCTCCAAGCCCTGCCCCCTGCCTCGGCCCGCCCTGCCCCGCCCTCTCCTGGTGGCCCGCTGGGCCTGCAGACGCTGCTGCTGCGCTCCAGAACTAGTTTGTTGTGGGGAGAACGCGGCCGTCAGAGAGCGCCCAGGACGGTGAACTGGACAGTGAAAAGGTGGAAAGGAAACGGGAGGCGAGAGAGGGCACCCCGGCTTAGCGGGGGCCACCAGCCGCAAGACCCGCTTGCCTTCTCCACGGCGGCTTCAGGCTGCGCCTCCAGACTCCACTGGACGAACAGCGGAAGGTGGGAAGGGCCCCAGTGCCCGTGATTTTTCTTGGTGGGAATGCAGTGGCTGGAGATGGACCAAACATGTAGGGCGAGCCTGAGAATGCGCGGGGAATCTAAGGTCCCGGCAGCCCTCAGACACGGAAACGGGGCTCGAAGGTGGGGGACTCTCGGTGTCAAAGTCCCAGGAAGCCGTCTGTGGATCTGGGGACCGTGTCCAAATACCACCAGGTCGGGTGAGGGACCAAGGACCTGATTCTGAAAGAATTTGAGGTACTTACTGCCATCTAAGGAGCCAGGGAGGATTTAGAAGTCAAGGCCTCTGTCCAGGCCTGAAAAAAATTGTGTCACACCCAGGAAGTGAAAGAAGCCCAATTAAAAAGGTTGCACATTATATGATTCTACTTATATGAAGTCTGAAAACCACAAAGTCATAGGAACGGAAACAGCAGTTGGTGAATTTTCTTGGATATGTTCACTATTTGCATTGTGGGGATGTTTTCAAAGGGTAGAGTGTATGTCAGGGCATCTCAGTTTAAATATGAGCAGTAAACTGGCTGTCAGTTATACACCAACAAAGCTGGGAAGCGAGCGAGCAATAAAGAAGATTCACCTGACACTTAGGAGCAACACACACACACACACACACACACACACACACGGGTCAAGGGTGGAGCTCATGTCTTTTATTTTTGGGGTTTGTTTTTTTGGAGACTGAACCCAGGGTCTCATGCGTTAGGCAAATGCTCTACCACTGAGCTACATTCTCAGCCTTTTTAATTTTGAAACAGGGTCTCACTTAAGACCCAGGCTGGCTCTGAAGTAGCTGGGACTGGGATCATGGGTGGGCTCCATAATGCCTGGCCTTTATTTTTTCCCTCCAATCTCATTTTTGGGGGCTGGGGATGTAGCTCGGTGGTAGAGCACTTGCCTGGCACGCTTGAAGCCCCGGTTCCATCCCCAGTACTGCCAAAAAAAAAAAAAAAACCCTAATTTTTGAAAACCTATTATATTCTTGTTCATTCGCTAGCTACCTCCTCCCTCAACTGCTGAGCTCGAGGAAGGCTGGGTTTTTCCTTAATTTACTACTCTCAGCCTGGCACATGAAGGGCACTGGTCAACCTCCAAACAAGAGAAAAGGTTCATACCATGATCTTGGCTTTGTCACTTTGGGCCTGTGGTGAAGCAGCACATCATGGTGGGGGACACAGTCACCTCATGCGGTCAGAATGCAAAGAGGAGCCAGGGTCCCAATAACCCTTCAAGGGCCTCCCATGACTCCCCACTTCCCTAAGGCTCTACCACTTCCCAATAGTGCCCAGGCGGGACATCAGGATCCAAATCGTAACTTAAAATCAATAAAACAGAAATGAACCAAAACGAAAACAGTATACCATGGGCTGAGGCTCAGGGCACAGCGCTTGTCCAATGTGTGAAATCTGGGCTTGATGGCGAGAGCTACAAAAAGCAAAACCAAGAAACACCCAACCACCGAAAGTGAGTTACCAAGGACAAGATTTTACTTCCTCAAAACATCCAAAAGAAATGTCTTACTTCTGTGAATATTAATCAATCCACATAACACAAGTACAAATCCTGTAAGAAATTTTGAGCACCTTTACTTAAAAAAAAAAAAAAAAAAAAATCACATGGTCCCCTTGGCTACTGATCATGCCACAATGTGTTACACTCCTTCTTGAAACAGGGGTGATACTTGTGTTTGTCAGTTAAGAGAGCACCTACAAAACCATGATTTGACATTATGATAAAAACTCCAACAATATATGCAATAAAAGTGAAATTCATGTGAGAAAAAAAATGCTTGAAGCTGTATATACATGGTAACACATCATAAAGTTTAATGAATAACTTGGCAAAACTAAAAGTTGGCCTGATCCACAATGGCGATGGGATATTTAATATATCTTAGTAAATAAAAGAGACAATATTTGTTAGCATACAAGTTGCTTGAACATATTCAACATTATTAAGAGAAATGTACAGAAATTCTCCTTGGGGAAAAAATTTCAATATTTTTAATCACAGAGAATAAAATGTAACTAAAAATGAACAGAATGATATATTCAGCTGTGAGGAAGAGGAAGACCTCCCTCCAGGCTCAGATGGAAGTAGCCAAGTGCTCTACCACAGAGCACTGCACAATGCAATAAAGCTTTTTTTTTATTTTTGGTGGCTGGGGATTTGAACCCAAGGCCTCAGCATGCTGGGCAGTGCTCTACCACTGAGCTACACCACCAGCCCCTCAACTAGTTATTTCTTTGGCATCACTGTAGCTGCCATGCAATCAGGAACACAGTAACTGGCACTGAAAACGGACATTAACTATACAAATTAGATCTTATATCAATTCAACCCATAGAGGGGAGTCAGAGTATTTCCAAGAATGACTGTCTAAACTGGCTGCCTGACAGACACATTAGGGTTTGGGGGAAAATTCCAACTGAGATATCTCATGTGGAACTGGAACAAAAATTTACAAGAAACTTCACAACTCAGAACAGGGAATCCAACTTATTTTTTTTCAGTTGTAGATGACACAATACCTTTATACATGGCGCTGAGGATGGAACCCAGAGCCTCACACATACTAGGCAAAAGACGTGTGACTTCAAAATCTGATAAATGCCTCTTCACTTCTTTCCAATTCTCATCCAAGTTTAGACTACTGCCAACTTCTAACAAGGCACCATAAGGGGACTACATTCTGGGAAATCTACTTCCCACCATTACCAACAAAGTCATATCACAGTCCAACACTGGCACTACTAAATGCTTTGCCACATTGTTTACATTCATAGGGCTTCTCTCCTGTGTGAGTCCTTTCATGCATTTGCAGGTAATAGGAAGGACTGATGGCTTTCCCACACTTTTATTGTTCAATCACTGGTCTCTGTCACTCAAAGTGAACTATCCAAATAACAGCCAGAAATAACAAACAGTAAAAGGCAAAAGATGAAAATAAGAATCAACATGAGATTATGATAAAAACTTTACATACTTAAAAATTGATGGCAACTCCTTATTACCCAAGAAAATAAAATAAAATTCTATGCACGTTTTTTACAAAGCAGTTTCCCCCATAAGAAATGGAAGAATATAGAGATGGAGGAGACAGAGCTATAACCCGCCATGTGACCAGTAAGAAATTCCAACAGTTAACAAGTGTTTTAAGTGACCTACTAAACATAAAATTTAAAAGTACATAAAAAGCAAACTTCTCTGTATATTAGAAACATTTCAATTTACCCATGAACCCTAGAATTAAAAATAGTAAAAATTTTATTAAGTAACTTAAAAACACTACCTATTAAACTCTTTTACTGTTGCTTTAAAAGTACTTATGAAAATTATCAAGCCTTAATGATTCTTTGTGGAAATTAGTAAAAATTCAAACTCTAGAGCTATATTAAAAATGAGCTATCAGCTGGGTGCAGTAGTGCACACCTATAATCCCAGCAGCTTGGGAGGCTAAAGCAGGAGGATCATGAGTTCAAAGCCAGCCTCAGCAATGGTGAGGCACTAAGCAACTCAGTGAGACTCTGTCTCTAAATAAAATACAAAATAGGGCTGAGAATGTGGCTCAGTGGTTGAGGTCCCCCAAGTTCAATCTCCAGTACCCTTCTTCAAAAAAAAGAATGAGCTATTAATAAAGAAAATCAATTTAAGCTGGGAGCAGTGCCCATGCCTATTAATCCCAGCAATTCAGGAGGCTGAGGCAGGAGGACCACAAATTCAAGATCAGCCTTGGTAACTTAGCAAGACCCTGTCTTAAAATCTTAAAAAGGGTTGGGAATGCAGCTCAGTGGCAGCGCACTCCTGGGTTCAGCCCCCATTTATGTATTAAACAAAAGGAAAAAAAGAGGAAGGCAGGTGAGAAAATCAGTTTACAACTTTAATAACATTTCCTTCAGGACGTGTATTTTCTGGAGCATTATATGTGTATTAATTTGCATCAGGCTTTGCATATTATTTCAATATGTATGTTTTCTCTAAATTGGAAGCTTCTATAAGGCTTTCAAAGTAACTGTCAAAATTGAAAACATTCTTCTTGTTTTTCACACTTTCAAGTCTTCAATGCAGTGTTCATTATTTCTCTCCACCTTTGCCTGAGTACTGACCAGGGGTCATGGGGCTGGTCAGCAGCTCTAACATGCCAAGCTCCACTCAAGCCCCAGTGTGCATTTTACATGTCCCTTAAGATGAGCCAACCGAGGGCTTTGCCCACTGCTGACTTTCCACTGCTTGCATCTCTCCTCCATGCATTCTCTCATGGCTTTGAAGTGAAGTGGGACATCAAAAGGCACCTGAACCTTCAGCATATTAGAGTTGCTCACCAGTGGGTGTTCTCAATGTGCTCTCCCCCTCAACCAAAGCTTTCCCACATTCCTTACATAGGGTTTCTCTCCAGTATGCGTTCTTTCCTGTTTTGAAAGGGATTGTGACAAATGAAGGCTTTCCCATACTCACGGTATTTGGGCAGTTTTTCTTTCAGTAAGAGTTCTTTCATGAATTCTATTATGTATCTGAAGGGTACTAGAGCGACTGAAGGCTTTACCACATTTTAGACACTCATAGGGTCTTTCTCCAGTGTGCGTCCTTTTGTGTTTTTGAAAGGTGCTAGAACAACTAAATGCTTTTCCACATTCTTGACATACATAGGGTTTCTCTCCAGTGTGCGTTCTTCTATGTATTTGAAAGGAACTGGAACAACCAAAGACTTTCCCACATTCTTGACATTCGTAGGGTTTCTCTTTGGTGTGAGTTCTTGCATGTATTTGAAAGACACTGGAGCGGCTGAAGGCTTTACCACACTTTGTACATTCATAGGGTTTTTCTCCAGTGTGAATCCTTTGATGTCTTTGAAAAGAGCTGTGGCAACTGAAGGCTTTCCCACATTCTTTACACTGATAGGGTTTCTCTCCAGTGTGAGTTCTTTTATGTATTCCAAAGGAACTGGAACTGCTAAATGCTTTGCCACATTGTTTACATTCATAGGGCTTCTCTCCTGTGTGAATCCGTTCATGCATTTGCAGGTAACAGGAACGACTGAAGGCTTTCCCACACTTTTTACACTCAAAGGGTTTCTCTCCAGTGTGAGTTTTTTCATGTCTTTGAAAGGAACTTGGACAATTGAAAGATTTCCCACACTCCTTACATTCATAGGGTCTCTCTCCAGTGTGAGTTCTTTCATGGATTCGAAAGGAACTGGGATTGCTTAAGGTTTTCCCACATTGTTTACACTGATAGACTTTCTCTCCAGTGTGTAGTTTTTCATGTATTTGAAATGAAACAAGACTAATGAATGCTTTTCCACAGTCCTTACATTTATAAGGCCCATCTCCAGTATGCCTTATCATATGCCTCTGAAAGGTTGAGAGAGAAACAAAGGTTTTCCCACATTCCTTACATTCACAGCCTGTGTTTGTTCTGGTGTGAGTTTTTTCATGTATTCGAACAGAACTAGAACGAGCAAAAGCTTTACCACACTGTTTACACTCAAAGGGTTTTTCTCCAGTGTGCGTTCTTTTATGTCTTCGAAAATCACTGGGACATCTGAAGGCTTTCCCACATTCCTTACATTCATAGGGTTTCTCTCCAGTGTGAATCCTCTTATGTATTTGGAAGGACTTGGCAGTACTTAGCCCTTTACCACATTGCTTACATTGATAAGGTTTCTTTTCAGGGTGAGTTTTTTCATGTATCTGACATAAATTAGTAGAATAAAAGGCTTTCCCACATACTTTACATTTACATTCATGAGGTTCCGCTTCAGTGTGTGTTATCCTGTGTCTTTGAAAGCTTGCAAGAGAAATAAAGACTTTTCCACATTCCTTACATTCATAACGTTTCTCTCTAGTGTGATGATAACCGTTGGCTTTTGCACACTGCTTATCTTGATGTGTCTCCTTTTCACCGTGATGGTCATGGGTTTTTTGTCCGGTGTGAGCTTTTGGGTGCTTACTAAGGGACGAATGACTTGTGGTCCCCTCTCCACATGTGGTGCTATCATAGGGTTCAACTCCACTTGTTTTCTCAGTCAGATTAAGATCTAGAATCTGGCTGGCGGTTTCTTCATTCTGACTACCTTCTTCACTTTCACAGAGTCTCTCTACCAGATGACTTCTGCAAAAAAGGAAAAGCATTGACTGTTTCTTATAATTTTATATTTGTTAATATGAATCACACTTGTCTATTATTGGGGAAATAAGGGTTTTATTCACTCTCAAAATTGCTTGAGCATGAACTGATCAAATGCTCTGCGAGGCCTGGGCATGGTGGCGCACACCTGAAATCCCAGCAGCTTGGGAGGCTGCGGCAGAAGGATTGTGAGTTCAAAGCCAGCTTCAGCAAGTTAGCGAGACCCTATGCAACTCAGTGAGACCCTGTTTCTAAATAAAATGTAAAAAAGGGCTGAGTGCTCCTGGATTGTTCAATCCCTGGTGTGGGGGGAGGGGAGCTCTGCAAGGGGGTTTGATCATAGCTATTATCAAAACAGTAATATTCACAGATGGGAATTTTTAATATACGGCGAAATGTAGTGAACTATGAACTACGTAATATATAAGTACGTGGATTTTGAAGGATAAAAAAACTTAAAATGGGTTTATTTGTTCTGTTTCTTTGTTTTTATATTTTCATGAGCCTGGGCATACTGGTTTACGCCTGTAATCCCAGCTACTCTGGAGGTTGAAGCAGGAAGACTGCCTGAACCCACAAGTTCAAAAACAGCCTGGGTAACCTGGTGACACCCTGTCTCAACAACAAAGTTTTAATAAAAACTAAAAACAAAATTTTAAAACATGCTATAAATTCTCTCTAGGGACACTGCTTTCTCTTATGAGCACAAAGTACCTTAGGTTTCTCTCATTTGTACGGTTGTTCTTCAGTATGAATTCTTTCAAGTATTTAGAAAAACTTGAATTTTTGCATTGATCTTCAATATGTTGGTCTTTCCATTTTATTCCTAAAATGTAGATCCAGAAAATCATTATGAATTTAATAAAATATTTAGAAAATTTATGGCACAATGAGATCCTGCTGACTTATTTTATTCACCAAAGCATTCCCTTTCCATATTCTAAACCTCTGAACAGCACTGATGATAAAGAAACACCTGTTCTTTAAATGACTAAGGGCAGGAATGTTTTTACACTTACCTACAAAGGCCAGGTTCCTGAAGGTTTCCCTCATCACATCTCTGTATAGATTCTTCTGGGAAAGATCCAACAAAGCCCACTCCTCCTGAGTGAAGTTCACAGCCACATCCTCAAAGGTCACTGGGTCCTAAAACATCCCACATGTATGTAAAGGAGGATTCGTAAGTTCACGATTCTGGTCTCCAAACATTTATTCTATAACTTGGTCATCAGACTCTTGCTCTCTGCCGACATTCATATCCTTCCACGTAGCAACTGAGATGACAAATGAATTATCCACAGGGCAACAGCAGAATAGGAACACTACCTTATCCAGATGTGGGCACAGGGGATGGAGGAAGTCTGAGGTTTACAAGTTGTCAGTAGGTCTGGTGGTGTGGCTGGGTGGTAGAATGCTTGCTTAGCAAACCCAAGATCCTGGGCTCCACCCAAGGCACCACAAAAATAAATAAATAAATAAATAGCCAACTAATATCAAAAACTGAAGTCAGGTAATTCTCAGTTCCACTGTGGCAATGTAAGGACACAGAAGGCAACACTCACCTCCAGAGAATAAGAAAGCACATGAACTAAAAATTAGCAACTCTTCTTACATCCATCAGAGAAATGTGTTTACAGGAAAACTGATGCCCCAAATGGAGAGACAAAGACAAAAGCCCATAAAGTGCAACTTACTAGAGCAGAAACCTGTGTGAAGAGCAGTTACCAGAGTAGGGAAAACTAAACTATCACTGGTGTACTACTAAAAGCTGAGGAGGACAAGCTTCAGAGGGAAAAAAAAAAAATAATGATAATGATGGGGACCAATCTTGGAATGGACTTTCCCATTTCTTTTTACCTCCAGAAACCCTACCAGGTGTCCCCAGTGAAGATCAGGGAAAAATCACTGCTTGCTTTCATAGGGGAGGGAAACGTAGCCATTCTGAAAGATGCCCAAGGAATTGTGTCTGTTTTCCTAAGCCCTTTCTTCAAGAGAAACTATAGGACTGGGAATATAGCTCAATAGCAGAGCACACAGCAAAAACAAAGAAACAGGAAAAACTATAGCCATCCCTCAGTATCCACTGTGGATCACTTCCAGGACCACTGCCCCCCATGCTAAAATATCCCTTATACGAAATGGCATAGTGCTTGCCTTTAAAGCCTTTAATAGGCTTTAAATGATCTCCAGATGACTTACCGACTACAATGTATACTATGTAAATAGCTGTTCTACTGTAGTTGACCTCCAGAAAACCTACCAGGATGTTCAGAAAACAATGACAATCAATCAATCAGTACAGACAGGTTTTCCACCCTTCCTTGTTTGAATGTGCAGGCACAGAACTCACAGACATTGAGGGCTGAATGTATGTCCCAAAAGCCTAACAGAGATGTAACCAGGGCCAAACTTCTGGGAAAAGGGAAGTACCCAATTCCCTCTAACTTTCCTGCAGCAACAAAGGCAAGTGGAAGACCTAGAAGTACTTAAGAAAGTCACAACCCAGGAACACAGGCTTCCTAAAAATGAGGCCAAATCCTAGGTCCGTGGAATGCGCTGCCTCCTCCCACACCATCCCACTACAGCAACAAGCTCCTGTACAGCAGCGGAACACAAATGAAAGAAATGCACACCTCACGGCCTATATGCAAAGTCTCCTGGGGTACAGTAACAAATTGGATTACACCAATAAGTAGACTAATTTCTAGAAACAGAAATAATCTGAGACTACCTACATCTAATAAGGACTACCTACATCTAATCAAAACCCTGTGCTATGATTCAAATGTTTGTGTCCCCTTCCGTAATTTATGGTGAAACAAACCCCAAAACAGCAGTGGGACCTTTAGCAAGCAATTAGACCACAAGGACTGTGGCTTCCTGAGGGAGGGATTAGCCCCTATGAGATGGCCGGAAAGAGCCAAGCAGGTGCTTTGCCTTCTGCCTTTCACCCTATGAGGACACAGCAACAAGGTACCACCTTGGGAGCACAGACAAGGCTTTCAATAAACACCTCACTGACTAGCTTCTCATCCTGGACTTCCCAGCCTCCAGAACTGTCAAAAATAAATTTCTGTTATTTATTTAATATTTTTGGTGCCAGGGGTTGAACTTAGGGTCACTTAACCACTGAGCCACATCCCCAGCCCTATTTTGTGTTTTTGCTGAGGCTGGCTTTGAACTCATGATCTCCTTGCCTCAGCCTCCTGAGCTGCTGGGATTACAGGTAAGCCCCACTGTGCCCAGCAATCTCTGTTATTTATAAATTATCCAGTTTCCAGTAGAGTAGAGGAAGGGGAACAGGTGGGAGGGAGGAAGGAAGGGAAGCACTGGGGACTGAAATAGAGAAAATTAAATTCCACACATGTATGAGATGTGAAAATGGACCCACTATTGTGCATAACTGTAATGCACTAATAAAAGCATTTTAAAAAATAAATCTGCCCCAATAATAAAGACTAAGACTTTATAAGAAAAAAAAAAAGTGCAGAGAAGCATGCCTTATGAATACTGGCACAAATAACCTCAAATACTCAAAGATGTGAAAATCAAAACAGTGCAGTGGCATAAAAACAGAGTATGGACCAAAGGAAAGGAAAGCCCAGAAGACACCCTTACATAGCCAGTAAAATGGGTTTTGACACAGGGACCAAGATCATTCAATAGGAAAAGGACAGTCTTTTCAAAAATGGGGTGCTGAGAAAACTAGGCATCCACATGTAAAAGAATGAAACTATACCATACACAAAAGTGAAATCAAAATGGATCAAAGACCCAGTACCCACCCCCCAAAATCAATAAACTGATGAACTCATAGCCAGGCTAACAAAGAAAAAAAGAAGCAGCATTGCCATTAATCCCACAGACATTAAAAAGACTATAAAAGGTCTTCCTGACCTTTTAAAAGTACTTCTAAGCCTTCCTATGGCTGGGCGTAGTAGCGCATGCCTGTAATCCCAGCATCTCAGGAGGCTAAGGCAAGAGAATCGCAAGTTCAAATCCAGCCTCAGCAACAGCAAGACCCGTCTCAAAGTTTTAAAAAAGGGCTGGGAATGTAACGTGCCCCTAGGGAAGGAAGGAAGGGAGGGAGGGAGGGAGGAAGGAAGGAAGGAAGGAAGGAAGGAAGGAAGGAAGGAAGGAAGGAAGGAAGGAAGAAAAGGTGGGGCAATACTGTGAATAACTCCATTTCTAAAAATTGGAAACTTGGATAAAATGGACCAACTTCTTGAAGGATACAATCTTCAGGCACACAGAGATATATAAACAAAATGAACCAAACTACATGAATTTAAGAAATTCAATCAATACCTAATAACTATTCAAAAGATGAAGACAAGGCTTAGATGGTCTCACTGGTGAATTCCGCCAAACACTTAAGAAAGAAATAACATCAGTTCTCGATAATCTCTTCCAAAGTTATTAACATACCCAAATGGTAATAGCAGATGAGACATGACCAAAAAAGAAAACCTCAGAGCCGACCTCTCATAAACATGGACATAGAAATCCTCAACAAATACCAGCAAACTGAATCTAACAACACCCCAAAAGAATTATATACCACAATCAAATAAATCATTATGGGTATGCAAGGCTGATTAAACACTGTCTAGGCACAAAATCCAAAGAACAAATATAAAACTACTAGAAATTATAAGAAATTTTAGCAAAGTTGTACAACATCAGATTAACATACAAAAGTCGATAGTTTTCCTCTCCCTCTTCCTCCCACTTCCTGGTGCTAGGGATGGAATCCAGGCCATCGTGCATGTTGGGCAAACCCTCTCTGCCACCAAGCTACTTCCTCAATCCAAAAGTTCCTTCTCAATACTACTGCACAAAGGATATAAACACCCAAACCACAGCCAACATGTATCAATCTGATACCATCTCCATGAAATTCTAAATAAGATCTATACACATGATCTAAATATATGAAGAGGTATTCCAAGTTCATTGACAGGAAGTCACAACATTGGTAGGATCTCAGTTCTCCCGACTTTGGACTAGATTCAACACTATCTCAATTAGGATTATTCTAGCAAGTTATGAAGAAAACAAAACAAAACTAGAGTCAGTTTTTAGAAAACTAGAATCAAAGGCTAAGCGGGGAGCTCAGTGGGAGAACACTTGCCTAGTATGTGTGAGGCCTGGATTTGGTCCCCAACAGAGAAGGGTTGAAGGGTTGGGGAGGAACAATAGAAAACTAGAACCACTTTTAAACTTTAGAATCAAAGTTCATTTGAAAAGGTAAAAGATCCAAAATGACCAACACAATATACTTGAGAATAAAGTTGTATTGACAACCCGATGTCAAAATCACCATGAAGGGGCTGGGGTTGTGGCTCAGTAGTAGAGTGCACACACAAGGCACTGGGTTCCACCCTCAGCACCACATAAATAAAATAAAATAATAAAGAAAAAATTACCATAACAGCAATCAAGCAGTATAGTATTTGTAAAAGATGAGACCTTCAGATCAACAAGACAGACAGACCAGGACAGAAAGGGAGCCCAGGAATAAAACCACAGTATGCAGCCAACTGATATGTGCCAAAGGGGCCAAAACAGTTCAATGGAGATGGTAAAAAACTGAGGCTGATTCCAAAAATGATGTGGAAAACCTGGGATACCATATCCATAAAAATGGATTAGAGACAGACCTTACAACTTCATCGAGATTAACTGAAAATGGATCAGAAGCCTAAACGTAAAATGCAAACATGAGAATTCCAATAGGACACAAAATAGAGGAAACTGTAGATGACCATGGATTTGAGAACGAAATTTCAGAGAGGACACCAAAAGCATCAACCATGAATGAGTAAATTCTTAAATTGGACCTCATTAAGTAAAATTTTCTGTGTTGCCAGAGGCACTGTCAAAAGAATGAAAATAAAAACCACAGGCTAGGACACAATGTCTGCAAAACAAGACCCGTATAAGAAAACAAGCAACCAGAGCTGGATAAGGTGCTAAATGCCTGCAGTCCCAGCTGAAGTGGAAGGATCACTTGAGCCCAGGAATTCAAAACCAGCCTGGGGTAACATAGAAGGGGGACCCCCGTCTCAAAAACCAACCAAACAAACAAAAAAATGCTCAGACACAGCCCCAGCTAACTGGGGTTCTAATGCAGAAGAATCACTTTAGTTCAAGAGTTTAAGGCCAACCTCAGCAACTTAGCAAATAAGTATATGAAGGGTGCTCAACATTATATGCTATTAGGTAAGTGCAAATCAAAAAGCAATAATGTACTATCATATACCTAGTGAGGTGCTAAATCCAAAATACTGTCAACAAGTGCTGACAAAACATACAGCACTGACTCTTACTGTTGGTGTGAATGGAAAATAATGCAGCTATTTTGGAAGACAGTGTGACAGGCTCTTACAGAGATAAACATGGTTTAACTAGACTATTCAGTAATCACACACCTAGTTATTTACCCAAATGAACCCAAAACATAGGTTCACACACACCTCTTCACACAAACATTAATAGCAACCTTCTTTGTAATTCTAGAAGCAACTAATACATACCTTTCAATAGGTTAATGTATAAACAGTAGTACATCTATATGAAGAATAATATTCAGTGATTGAAAAACTAAGTATTGGGCTAGGGTTGTGGCTCAGTGGTGGAGCGCTTGCCTAGCACACATGAGGCACTAGGTTTGATCCCCAGCACCACATTAAAAAAAAAAAAAAAACCAAATAGACAAAATAAAGGTATTGTGTCCATCTATAACTAAAATCATTTTTTAAAAAGATGAGTATCAGGTTACAAACTCAGAGGGACTTAAATGCTTATTGCTAACTGAAAGAAGACAATCTAAAACACTTGCCTAACAGCAGATTCCAAGTATAGGACCATAGAGACGTTAAAAAAAAAAGGTGGGGAAGGGGGTGCTGGGAATATAGCTCAGTTGATAAGAATGCTTGCCTTGCACACACAAGGCTCTGGGTTCAATCCCCACCACCACACACACACACACACACACACATACACACACACATACACACACACAATCAGTGGTTGCCAGGGTATTTATTGGGGGAGGGAGGAGGGGTAATGGAGGAAGGGAAAGGTGATAAATAGGTGGAGCACAGGGAATTCATTTTTAGGACAGTTAAGTTATATGGTACTGATGGTGGATACATGACACATACATTGTCAAAACGTATAGAACTAAACAAAGCAAGGAGTCAATCCTAATGTAAAGTATGGATTTGAGTGAATAATAATGATGTTAATTCTCAACATCATCACACATATTAATTCATAACAAATACACTATACATATACAAGATGTTAAAAACAGGGGAAACTGGGACCAGGGTTGTGGCTCAGTGGTAGAGCTCTTGCCTATCATGTGTAAAGCACTGGGTTTGATCCTCAGCACTACATAACCACTAAAAAATATTAAAATGACCACTAAAAAACATTAATACAGGGGCTGGGGCTGTGGCTCAGTGGTAGAGTGCTCACCTAGCACGCGAGGCCTGGGTTCAATCCTCAGCACCACGTAAAAATAAATAAATAAAACAAAGGTATTGTGTCCAACTGTAACTAAAAAAATAAATATTAAAAAACCATTAATATAACAACTAAAAAATATTAAAAATGAAACAGGGGAAATAACTAGCTATGAAGAAAGTCTTATTTGCTCAATTTTTCTGTAAATTTTAAAAAGCTCTGAAAAATAAAGGTCTAATAAATAAACTAAGCCATCATCCCATGAAAAGCCTAACTCTGTAAAAAAGAAACCTGACACATACTATTATACAGAGGATATTATAATTTGCATAAAATATGCAAAAATAAGATATTGAAAAAGAAATGCATACACAGGTTATAAAACCGGCAAGATAAACAAGGAGATTATCTAAGAATTTAAAAGACTGGCTCCATCTAGAGAGAGATGAGATGATGCAGCCTTCAGGAGTCATTCCAAGTGGGCATGTGGTGTGAAGGCATTTTCCAAGTCTCAGTATGGCTGCAATTACACAGATGTTCCCTTTTTGGTGGTGATTGGGGTGGGGGGTTAACTGGAGACTGAACCCAGGTATACTCTACCACTGAGATACATCCATGGCCCTTTTTATTTTATTTTATTTTATTTACATTTGAGACAGTGTCTTGCTTGGTTGCTGAGGCTGGCTTTGAACTTTCAATCATCCTGCCTCAGCCTCCTGAATCACTGGAATTACAGGCATGCACCATAGTGCCCCACAGCTGTTCTCTTTTGATGTTTCTATTGACTATGTAATTGTTTTATATATAGATTCATATTTAATATTTTTAGAAAGCTCCCAGAATATAAATAAGTCCCAGTGGCGGGTATGGGCAGTCTGAAACACCTGCAGAGGAGACTCCCAATAAGAACCAATGACTTCACATTATAAGTTTGCAATTGACCCTGGACCTCTGATTCCCAGCCAAGGCTACTCACTCACTTTAAGAAGGGGGTTTGGGGGGACACTGTTTGAAGAATCCAGCAAAATCACCCCAACTCAGCATTTTAATGGATGAGAGATGGATGCATATAAATAATTTATATCACAGCAATAAAGCACAAGTGTCTCTACGTGAAGGATATGGAAAATAACAACCCCCAAGAAAAAGGGGGATACCACTGAAATGCTCCATGTTCACCCTGCCAAAAGACCTGCCCTGGTGTGCCCGAAGTACATTCTTTTCAGGTTCTTGCAGCACTTCCCTGGGGTGGGCTTTCCTTGATCTCTTGAGGCAGTTTTTCTCCCTTCACCATCCTAAGGTATCCCAAAAAGCAGTAAAAAATCCTGTCCTGTCGCCTCAATACCAGCAAATTGACTGGCTGATCACCACTGGTTCTCTAAGGAATGGAACCTAGGACTGGGAAGAAAGAAAAGTTGACTGTCCCAAGCAGTTAGATATTTAGATGAGGAAGGCTGCTCCTCTGAGAGGCCCCACCCCCTGCACCTCACACTGGCTGTGGAAGGAGCTAGCATTCGCTAAGCATCCCAAGAGACATGGCTGCGGGGATCCTGGGTCTATCCGAGAGACAGTTCAAAAAACCCAAAAATAGGGAAAAACAGGAGGGTGAGCTGAGGCCACATCACCTGTAACGTTTCCTAGAGTGACCTCAATTCGAAGTCAGCCTGCTTCAAGTTAAACTGGGTGCACGTATAATATCTAACAACAAATCCCGTCAGTACGTGCAACTATGATGCACCAGTAAAAACCACGGAAAAGGAAAAAGACATCCTACTTAGGAGGGAAGAGGAGGGGCACAGGACATTTTCCCCCTTCACCTTAGGGCCGGGTGGTTGTTCCCTGCTTAACTTTCAAGTGAAAAGTCCACAAACTGGGGTTACCACAGCTCAGGGGTGGAGCGCTTGCGAGGCATGCGCGAGGCCCTGGGCTCCATCCCCAGCACTGCAAACAAACAAAAAACCCGCGCGCACTGGACACTGAGAAAAGGCCGTCCGAGGGTTGATAACGGTGGGAACCGGGGAGGGGCTGGGTGTGCGAACACCGGGAAGGACCGCGAAGTTGAGGGATCCTCGGCCTAGGAAGGGCGAGGCGGCGAGCAGGACGGTGCGTCCTTTCCGTTGAGGAGAACGGAGGGCCAGGGCCTCGGGACCCTCGCCCCACGCGCAGCCGGGGTCCCCGCGACCCTCCCGCAGGGACCGCACAGGCTGAGAGCCGAGGAGCTGCCCAGAGAGGGCTCCGCGCCGGGCCGGGTCGCCAAGGAGGGACGCGACGAAGCTCCGGGGTCGCGGCTGCCCGCCCGCCCCGCCCCCCACCCCGAGGGCCCGAGGGAACGGAGGGCGGAGAGGCCAGCGGTCGCCTCGGCCACAGACCGCGGAGCTGCCGCGGGAGGCCGGCCCGACCGGGTCCCGCGCGCCCACAGCCGCCCCCGCGCCGCGTCTCCGGACGCCCGGCCCCGCGCTCACCATTTCTCGGCCTCTAGGGTGTCCCGACGTCCTCCCCACAGCTCCGGCGCAGGCCACAGGCAAAGTGACCACGCAGCACCGCTCCGGGTCCTCAAGGGCAACCGGAAGGTGTAGGGACGTCCCCCTACTTCCCCTGGCGTCCCCCTACTTCCCCTGGCGTCCCTCCGCGGGCCTCTCCTGCGACGTGCCTGATTGGCCGAGACCCTCCCTCTTCTGAATGAATGACAGCGACGAGGGACGCCACGTAGCTGGCGGAGTGGGCTTCCCGCGGTGGGCCCGAGCTGGACCCTGCCAGCCGCGGTCGGCTCAGTCAGAACGCGTTCCCGGCGCCAGGCCCCCGCGCTAGGCCCCCGCTGGCGCCTTCCCCCAGCTCCCGCGGACCGGGACGCGCTGTGCGCAGAGAATTCGACTCCTTTTTCCCAGGGGAGGACGCCCCTTCCAGTGTAAGAGGGGCGCCCAGATCAGCGGGCTCCAGTGTGCCCCGAGGGTCTGAGGCTTGGCATGAGTCCCTGAGGCCTTTTAGAGCTCTTCTGTTTAAAACGAACACAGACATTTCAAAGAGAATTATCAAGCCAGATAGGTGCGATGGCACACACCTGTCCTCCCAGCGACTCCGGAGGTTGACGCAGGATTGCAGGTTCGAAGCCAGTCCGGGCAAATTAGGAAGACCTTGTCTCAAAATAAAATAGAAGGGCAGGGGATGTAGAACATCACAGCCCTAGATTGGGTGCAGTAACTCTTTTCCATCAACAAGCTGTGTGTTCCTGTTACAAAGCCTGAAGCATGCGGGGCTGGGGATGTGGCTCAAGCGGTAGCGCACTCGCCTGGCATGCATAGGAGCCCCAGGTTCGATCCTCAGCATCACATACAAGAAACAAAGATGTTGTGTCTGCCGAAAGCTAAAAAATATATATTAAAAAATTCTCTCTCTCTCTCTCTCTCTCTCTCTCTCTCTCTCTCTCTCTCTATATATATATATATATATATATATATATATATATATATCGATAGATAGATAGATAGATAGATAGATAAAAGTCTGAAGCATGCAATTTTTTTTTTTTTTTAAACCCAGGGACTCACGCATTTAAAGCAAGCACTCTACCACTAAGCTGTAGTCCCAACCTTGGAAGGCAATTTCTTATTGATAATTTTTGAAGGTGCTCCTAGTGAACTTTGAAATGTAAATGTATGCTATCCCTAAGGCAAACTGAATACCTATTTCACTGATATAAGAAAAAAATAAAAAGCTATGTAAACTTTGGATGTACATTGAAACTCAATGTGCTTAAAAAATGGGTAAAACTCCTAATGTATCTTTTATTGGAACCTGTTTTTTGAGATATCATACATAAATACACTCCTTTAATGTGCACTATTCAGATTTTTTAGTATATTCACTTATACTTGCAATTTTGCAAGTTTAGAACATTACCATTGGCCATGACAACAAAACCAAACCCGGTAGTCATTAGTTATCCCTTCACTTTCCTTTAAACCCTAGACAACTACTCATCTATTCTGTTTGGATATAGTTCCTATTCTGGACTTTAATATGAAAGGGATTAGATAATCTGGGATCTTTAGGATTGACTTTATTCACCTAACAGTGTTTTCAAGGAACATCTACATTGTAGCAGGTATCAACACATCCTCATTTGTTTCTGATTCTTCCATTGTTTAGATGTAGCACGTTGTGTTTACTTATTCATCCATTAATGTACATTTGCTTTGTTTCTACCTTTTGGATATTGTGAATAATGTTGTCAACACCATTCAGATACATGGTTTTCTGTGTACATATGTTTACATTTCTCCTGAGCCAAGGAGTTCAAGACCAACCTGTGCAACATGATGAGAAGTTCTTTTTTAAAAATGGAGAGGGGAATGTTAGGGCTGGGGATGTAGCTCTGTGGCAGATCACTTGCCTAGCAAGCACCAGGCCCTGGGTTTGATTTCCCAGCACTGAAAAAACGTTTAACTCTTTAAAAAGGGGTGGAGGGGACAGCAGCACCAAAGCCACAAAATTGACCAAAATTATCCCCTACTGACCAATAGAACTGGAGTTACTTGGAAATGAGGTTAGCTTAACTCTATTCTTCCTTCTTTCTAGATAAGAACTATTATGATAACCAGTGATATAAATAAATTCAGTGCACAGCATCCAATATAGAGAAAAGTCTCACTTCATAGACTAACAAAAGCCCAAGTCCAAAAATCTTTTTCAATACCTTTTTACTGATTCTCCCCATAGCTGCTAATGGTTTGTGGTCATTCTTATTTCAACTCATAACACTCTTCTCTTTCACTACAATACCCTAGAAGAATTCGATCTAGAGATAAGGGGAGTCAGAACATCAGGGGATACTCCTCTAACCTTGAGTTCAAAATATAGATACCTCATTTATACTCTCATGCCACCATGCCTGGTTCCATGTAGTTATCTTTTCAGCAGCTATGGGGATTGACCCAGGGGCAGTCTAAACACTGAAATAAAAATTCCCTTACAATACTTGATCTTGTATGTACGAGTTAATATTAATTAAGAATAGCCAATGGTTAACTTGACAAATTTACAAACAATCTGAAAGCCCATAACTGTAATGGAGTATTTTAATATATCCTTACAGGAAATGAAAAAGACAATTAATAGCATACAAATTATTTGAAAAATTTCTAAAATATTCTAGAAAACATCTACAGAAGAGTCTATTTACAAAAACATGCACACTTTATCACATACAGTGAAATGTAATTGAAAACATACTAAGTAATTGAAAACATACTAAGATTATGTTCAACAGTGACAGGAAACAGACAAACCGCTTGCTATGAGGAAGATGCTCATTCTTAAAACTAGGGATCAGTCAATGCATTCACTGCCCAATGCAATAAAGGAAAAAAAATACCCATGTAGTTCTTTTGTTGCTGTTGCAATGCTGAGAACTAACCCCAGGGATGCTTTACTACTATCTCCCCAGCCCCACCCCACCCCCTTTTTTTAAAATTGAGCTAGGGTCTCACTAAATTGCTGAGGCTGGCCCCGAACTTGGGATCCTCCTGCCTCAGCCTCCCCAGTATCTGGGATTACAGATATCCGCCACCATACTTGACCCATGTAGATTATCTCAACTTCATTCTTCCTTCTTCCTAGATAAGAACTATTATGATAACCAGTGATGCAACTAATAAATTCAATGCACATTATCCAATATAGAGAAAAGTCTCACTTCATTGACTAACAAAAGCCCAAGTCCAGAAGAGTCCTTTTTGAATGCACCACTTTAACTACATTCAGTCACTGGCAACATTAATACAACAGGTGTTTACTACATAATGTAAGACCCTAGATGAATTCAGTCTAGAGATGAGGTAAGTCAAAACATCAGGGAACATTCCCAATCTTGCGAGTCCAAATTATGCACACATTAAAGTTTGCAGGAAAATCTAAACAGCAATGGATGCTGAGTGGAACTTGGGAGGTATCTATACACTACACCTCTATAAAGATGACAATCAAGCAATTAGTGCTAACTTTGAGAATACAGGCATATACTGTTTAAGGAACAAGATGTTCTAGAAATGCATTATCAAGCAGATTTGTCTTCGTACAGACATAAAATATTCTTACTTCACAAACCTTGATGGTGTAGCCTACTGTACATCTAGACTGTATGGCACACAGCCTATTGCTCTTAAGCTATAAACCTATACAACATGTATCTATATTCAATATTATAGGCAAGTATAACACATGGTATTTGTGTTTCTAAACATAGAAAAGGTACAGTAAAAATACCATATAAAAGATAAACAGTGGTACACCTATATAGGGCACTTATCATAAAAGGAGCCTGAAGGACTGGAAGTTGCTGTGGTGAGTCATTGAGTGGTGGATGGATGTCAATCTTAGGACGTTCCTGTACACTACTGTAGATTTTATAAACACTGTGTGCACACTTAGGCTATACTAATTTTTCTTAAAAAATTATTTATTCAATAAAAATCAGTTTACTGCACCATTTTTACTTTATAAACTTAAAAATAACTTTTTTTCAGTGCTATGAATCAAACCCAGGGCCTCATACTTGCTAGGCAAGTACTCTAACATTGCACTACACACACAGCCCCCTGCAATCTTTTTTGCATTTTGACTGTTTTATAATAACACTTAGCTTAAAACACAAGATCCTTTTTATGGTTTACAAGCACAGGCTTGGGTTTCCACACAGATGTGTTGAGAGGTGCCTCCCTCCAAACTTGTGACAACATCAGCATGTTACCCATCTGAAAATGGAAAAAAAAAAAAAAAGAAAAACACAAACACATTGCATAGCTGTACAAAAATATCTTCTTTATGTTCTTACCCTATGAGATTTATTTTTATTTTAATTTTTTCTGATTTTTAACTTTTTTGTTAAAACTAGGACACAACACACTCATTAGTCTAGTGCAGGACCATTAACAGTCCTGGGAAGACTTATGAAGTCTTCCACTTCCACCTCTGTCCCCCTGGAAGGTTTTAGGGGGCAACACCACACACGGAGCTGCCGGCAGATGGTAACAATGCCTTCTCCTGGACTGCCTCCTAAGGGACCTGTCTGGGGCTGTTTTTACAGTACACTTTTTAAAAAATAAGAATGCAACCTAAAATGATAAAAACTACAGGATATAGAATACATAAACCAGTAACACAGTTGTCTATTATTACTATAAGTATTATGTCTAAAACTAATTGCAAGTGCTATATTTTTACACTACTGGTAGAGCAGGGCTGTTTGTGCCAGCATTACCACAAACACATAGTACTTTGCACTATGACATCACAATGGATATGATGCCACTGAGCAATAGGAAATTTTTCAGGTCTATTGTAATCTTAAGAGACCACCACATATGCAGCCTGTTATTGACTGAAACACTATTATGCGACACACAACTGTACTCATGATCAGCATGGCAAAGCATCAGGAAAATGAGGTAGAAGCAGGTATCCCTGAAGCCCTATTCATCAATCTAGTTCCATATTAATGGTTATAAAACTCAACACCCTTCATCAATTCTGCTCTCTATATCTCAAACAAATATATTATTGATGAATTCTAGCATGGAACTGGAAGAGATGGATTGTAGAAGACAGGCCACACAGTTATCTG